ACTACCTGGGCGCGGGGCGCGAGACCTTCTCCAGCGCCCCGCGCCGCCTGCGCCCCCCGCGCCCGCCGGGCCCTGCGCGCCCGGCTGCGCCCCCGGCCCCGCGCCGCTTCCACCTGCTGCTGATGTTCACCAAGGCGGCGCGCAGCCCGGCGCTGCAGGCGCGGGGCCAGGCTGCGCTGCGCTCCCTGCTGCGCCACGCGAGCTTCGAGCCCGGCCAGGTGCTGCACCTGCACTTCGTGAGCGAGCCGCCCAGCCGCGAGATCGCCCGGGGGCTGCTGCGCCCGCTGCTGCCGGGGCTCCCCTTCCAGTGCCAGGTAGGGCCGGGGCGCGGGGGGCCCTGGGCAGGGGGCTGGGCCGTCCCATGGCACCTGGACCCCAGGCGCCGGTGCCCAGCCACTCGCCCACCCAGCGCTTAGCGCCGGGCCCTTTGCCAGAGCTGCGTGAGGGGACGGTGCTGCACGCCCACTAACGAGACCTTGCCCGTAGACGACGAGTCTTCTCCCGAGTCCCAGCCGGGGAGTGGGTGGGTCAGGCAGAGCAGGAGGGCGCCTGTCCCTTGGCTTTTTATTCATGTAACTCTGGAATTTCATGTTATCCTTATAAACGTTGAATCTCCCTTTTAAATCCTGTAGCACTCTGGGCTCATGTGGCGGTGAGTTCCACAAGTTAATTCTGTGCCATTGAAAGCATTTGATTTGAGTTTTAAATATGTTGCTTTTTAGTTTCCTTGGGCGGCCTGTAGGTGCTGCTCCCCGTATTGAAATACTAGCTACAGGGGAACCTCTCCGCTAGCTTCAGGCCCCTCCTGGATTGCATCCAATGCCTGGCCCTCCCCGCAGCGATCGGAAGGACTCCTGGGGCTGTTAGGAGGGCCTGGCAGTCCAGCCTGAGGCTTTCTCGCGCTGTGGTTGCTGGGCCCTGTCTGTGCTGGCGAACTGGTGGCGCAGCCCCCAGCGAGCCTGTGACGCACCTTGTGTCCACGCTCAAACGTGCTCCCCGCAGCGCATGGGATCGCCCCAGGACGTGGACCAGACTCGCTCTGAGCAGGCCCAGCCACCAGGCAGGCTCCTCTCTGCCTGATACGGTGCCAGTGAGGCCTGGCTGCGGGTGACACATCCCCAGTCGTGCAAATGTTCCTCTTCCTGCCATCTCTCACACCTGGGCACTGCTTCCCGTGCCTGGCCGCACAGGCCTCACGCTGGCCGGAAGCCCCTGCCTGCGCCAGCAGCGCCGCACACATCATCTCTTCTGAGACCCGTCTGATTCCTCCGCCGGTGGGGTTGCTGCCTGTTCTCCCATCGCTTGGGCTCATTGTAGCTTTGACCGGCAGCTCTGGGGCTGGCTCTGGCCTGCCTAAGGGCGGGACCATGCAGATGGGAGGATGTGGAAGGGGGAAGCTGGGAGGACTCGACATAGGAATGCACACATGTGCATGGGGACTCGGGTCTCACCCTCATGTTCTGTCACTGCTGCTCCTAGCCCAGGTCTCGGGCAGTCGGTCCCTCCAGCCTCCAGTGGTAGCCTGACCCACAGCATTGAAAATCACTGCGAGGGGGGCACGGCCATCTTTGTGTCACAAGCTCGGAGCCGTGGCTCTCGGGCTCCTACAGAGGCTGCCGGAGCATCCTGTCCTGTCCCGCCTGCTCGCACCTTGCTACAGCCGCCTCCGAGTGGGGGCAGTGCCTGACAGTGGCTTGTCCTGAACCTCTCCTGCGAGCAGAGAGCTGACTGTTCAGCCGGCCTCTCTGCGGGGAGAAGGGCCAAGAGCGGGACTGGCACCGGGGGAATCCTGGCATTCACCCAGTCCTGAGGCAGAGTTCCCTGGTCTTCCAGAAGCCTCCCTGCCGGTAACTGGGGGAAGTGCCTGGAGGCTGTGCTGCTGCAGTGTGCTGGTGTGGATGCAGGAGAGTTGTGCGCACGGGAGCCCCTGCAACATGGCTACTGCGGAGACGCTGCACAGCGGGGGCTTGCCCTGGCGCAGGTTGGGCGGGTGCAGCTCTTGTGTGGGGTTTGGCTGTTGTAGCCTGAGATCGTGCCATACACAGTGGTGTTGCTTGCCACCCCCTCCTTCTGCTCGCTGTTCCCCTGCTGACACATCCCAGGGTCGTGCTGGAGATAGTGTAGAACTCACCGAGTTAAAGTGATTTCCTTTGTTTTTCAGACTCTGGGCATTAGCGACCGTGCAGGGAAAGGTTTGTCGCAGGCCAGTCAGTGGCCTGTGTACGCGGAGGTCACAGCCTGCGATCAGTTGCAGAGCTGCCATTTTCAAAAGATCAGCCTGCCAGAGAAACATTTCCTTCTCTCTGGAGACACTGAAATTCTCTGACAAAACTTTTGTTAGTGCAGAGTTAAGCTTGCCCAGTGGTGCCCGTCCAGAACCCTGCATTCTGCAAAACTCAAACTTCTGAAATCCAGTAAATATGGAGTTAAGGAACACGCCCACACAACCTTAACTCTGCCCTCTGAGTGATGTCCCAGTACTCCCATAACACACACACTCTCCCCCCGCCTTCGCAGACTGTGTAGAACACTCCAGGAATGGGGCACATGACCAGTGTAGGACAGAATTTAACGCCACCTGTTTGCTAGGGCAAAACTTGTGTTTAGGGGAGGTGTATGAAACAGAAGATAACTACACCTGCCCTACACTCAAACACTGAGCCTACGCCCTAAAGACAGTCCCACACTTGCTACATTTTACCTTCGCCCCCGATGCACTGGATTCCATCGAACAATCACTTTCACTTACCTGTCATTAAACCCCCAGACTACTCTCCGATCCCGCCTCACGGCTGACAGGGCCCATGGCAAGAAGACCCCGTGCCCTGATGCTGACACAGAACTCTGCCCTGACATGGGGCATACGGGATCCCTCCAGGTACACCTGCACCCCTTTCCTTGGGCCGCACATGGGTAGGGCTGGGGGAAAGGCAGGAAGTGAGGCTTAGCCCCTCCCCCCCGTCCCTTGTAAGAACGGCCAGGCTGGTTCAGACCAATGGTCCATCTAGACCCGTATCCTGTCTTCCGACAGTGGCTGGTGCCAGCTGCTTCAGAGGGAGTGAACAGAACAGGGCAATTATCGCGTGAACCATCCCCTGTCGTCCAGTCCCGGGTTCTGGCAGTCAGAAGTTTAGGGACATCCAGAGCTTGGGATTGCGTCCCTGACTATCTTGGCTAACAGCCATTGATGGACCTCCTCCATGAACTTAGCTAAGTGTTTTGTGAACCCAGTTATAGTCTTGGCCTTCACAACATCCCCTGGCAATGAGTTTCACAGATTGACCATGCATTGTGTGAAGAAATACTTCCTTTTGTTTGTTTTAAACCATCTGCCTGTTTATTTCATTGGGTGGCCCCTGGTTCTTGTGTTATGAGAGGGGGTAAATAACATTTTCCTATTCACTTTCTCTACAGTATTCATGATTTTATAGACCTCCATCCTATCCCCCCTTAGTCGTCCCCTTTGTAAGATGATCAGTCCCAGTCTTTTTAATCTCTCCTCATAGGGAAGCTGTTCCATCCCCTAATCATTTTTGTTGCCCTTCTCTGTATCTTTACCAATTTTAATATATCTTTTATGAGATGGAGCAACAAAAACTACATGCAGTATTCAAGGTGTGGAAATGTCATGGATTTACATAGAGGCATTATGATATTTTCTGTTTTATTATCTATCCCTTTCCTGATGGTTCTTAACATTCTGTTCACTTTTTGACTGCCGCTGCACATTGAGTGGATATTTTCAGAGAACTGTCCACAATGACTCCAAGATCTCTTTCTTGAGTGGTAACAGCTAATTTAGACCCCATCATTTTATATATGTAATTGGGATTATTTTTCCCCAATGTTGGTTACTTTGTATTTTTCAATGTTGAATTTCATCTGCCATTTTGTTGCCCAGTCACTCCGTTTTAAGAGATCCCTTTGTAACTCCTTGCAGTCTATTCAGGATCGGTAAGTCTAAAGGAACGTAGTATCATCTGCAAACTTTGCAGCCTTACTGTTCACCCCGTTTTCCAGATTATTTATGAATATGTTGAACAGCACTGGTCCCACTACAGATCCTTGGGGACCCCACTATTTACCTCTCTCCACTGTGCAAACTGACCATATATTCCTACCCTTTGTTTCCTATCTTTTATCCGTTACTGATCCATGAGACTTCTTGTCCCATGACTGCTTACGTTGCTTAAGAGCCTTTGGCGAGGGACCTTGTCAAAGCTTTCTGAAAGCCCAGGTACCTTATATCCACTGGATCATCCTTGTTCACATGTTTGTTGACCCCCTCAGAGAATTCTAGTAGATTGGTGAGGCATGATTTCCCTTTACAAAAGCCATGTTGACTCTTTCACAACATATTGTGTTCATCTATGTGTCTGATAATTCTGTTCTTTACTATAGTTTCAACCAGTTTGCCTGGTACTGAAGTCAGGCGTACCAGCCTGTAATTGGAGTCTTTTTTAAAAATCAGTGTCACATTAGTTACCCTCCAGTCATCCTGCACAGAGGCCGATTTGAGTGATAGGTTACACACCACCGTTAGTAGTTCTGCAGTTTTATGTTCGAGTTCCTTTAGAACTCGTGGGTGATACCATCTGACCCTACTTGTTACTGTTCAATTTATCAGTTTGTTTCAAAACCTCCTCTATTGACACCTCAATCTGGGACAGTTCCTCAGACTTGTCTCCTAAAATGAAAGGGCTCAGGTGTGGGAATCTCCCTCACATCCTCTGCAGCGAATACAGATGCAAACAATTCATTAGCTTTTCTGCAATGGCCTCAAGAGACTCGTGCTCTGTCACGGTTCCAAGTGCTCCTCCTAACGCAATCACCGCTCTGACAGGCTGGTCCAGCTCATTCCACCGCCGGTCAGTACAGCTACCCCAGCCCAGGGCAGGCAGCTGATTCCCAGTGGCGCTGCCAGCTCCCGGGGCAGAGGCAGTGCACTGGCACGGTCTGTAACTCTGGGTTTCAGAGGTGTGAGCTAAGGGGGCCCCAGGGCCCGTCGGGCTCTTCCAGAACGTTGACAAGCGCTGCTGAGTGTCGGAGGGCGGCGCTCAGCGCTGCCTGGGGATCAGGCCCCTCAGGCTGATGGGTGAATTCGAGGGGAGGGGGGCAAATGTAAATGAGAACGGGCCTGAGTTTCCGGTTTTGCTCACTGGAGGGTGAATGTGCTGGCTGACTCTGGGACTCGATCACAGCGTGTAGGGCTCTTCCGGGGAGAAAACACCCGCTCCTAAAGGGCTCTTTGATCTGGCGGAGAAAGGCAGAACTAGAACCAAGGGCTGGAAGCTGAAGCCAGCCAAATGCAAAT